GACGAATATCCCGTGTGAATAACCATACACCCTGTACATGCTGGTAGTCTGGGACTGGGATACAGCAGCAATCTGCTAGCAGTTGGTGTGATTGCACTAGAATCTAGCCCCTCCCACTTCTCACTTCCTCTTGGGCTCCGACCCTGAAACCTACTTGGGTTTGCGAACTTCTACCAAGTATAACTCTAGAATCCTCCTGGTTAGGCGGGCAGAATGTGCTGATTGTCTTCGTCCCAAAGCGAACCCTTTACAGCCAGGGACCTCCTGCTTTCAACTTTCTCTTTGTTTTAATGACTCTGTTCTGCTTTTGCTCTAGTTGCATTATTTAGGTTATTATTTTTTAGTCCCAACTAGGATGTTGTTTTAAAAGGTTTGGCTACAGGAAACCTGCTAAGACCTCCAAGTATACTAAAGAACCACGGCCATAGATGTATCTTACATTGAAGAAATTACCCTTATAAATATGACTCAGAAATCCATTGTTCACACTCCAATATAAATTTTAACGAGGTTTATTGGTAGGCTCTGGCTTTAATTCTAAGACTATATATACTTGTCTTATTTGAAGTGCATATTATAATTATCTTATTTTAAGAATAAAAATACTAATTCCATTGGCAGACCATCTTATTTACCTGCTAAAATTAAGGCTAAATGCACTTTAAGACATTTTTACTTATAGATCATTTTTGCAGTGAACCAGCAGAGAAATAAAAGCATGTGATTCATGCTGACATCGTATTGGGTGAATATTGGTATCGGTCATTAATCAAAGCTGTAATATTGGTTTTGTATTGAAGAAAATGAAAAAAGGTGTATTGGTACATGGCTAATTAAAAATATGTCAGTCTGCTGGATTACGCATGGAAATGGATTAAATTCAATATAACCCTGCAGGCGCATAGGGAAATAATTTCATTAGTCTTGGTTAAAGGCTAGCAAAGTGGAGAACAATGACAGAAGGTATGGCGAACGTTCAAACTGAACGCAGTAGATGAAGGCGCACTGCTTTGCTTTCAGACAGATTCAGAAATGAGTGGGGGCAGCACCGATTGGAAGCTGCAGAGCCGCTCCTGCTGAACTTCTGGCAATAATCTGTCTTTAAAATGTTTTTTCGGTTCCGTGTCTCAGATGATTCTTATGGATGATTAATTAATAAATCATGTCATACGTTCTGGTATATCATGGTTATAACACCTCAGCGCTGCCAACGAGAAAACTTTACATTTATTAATTAGGCTACTTTGTTTGCAGCATCATTACTGATATGATGTCTCAGTTAATTTATTATTTACATGTTAAACTTTGAGCTGAATGAACGTCAGATTCAGTCCAAAGGGGACTTAATGAGACATGACACCATTCATGGAAACATCTACACCTGATGGACAAAGGACATTCTCTGGAGGACCAGATGTCCACATTTGGACAAAGAAGACAGGTGGTTTGAGAGGGGCGTGAAGGAAGCCATCTATGTTAAGAAAGAGGAACCAACCTTAAACAGAGGTGGGGGGGACTCAGATTTCTAAAACTTACAATGCAGCTATTTAGTTAATCCCTTTTCTGTTATTATCGCAGCTCCACCCACCGTACAGCCAGTCCCATAATCCCCTTTAATGACCGACCTTTCAGATACTTATATGGGTACAGTATGGGGCATTGCTGTCTAACAAAGAAGCCAAACGACCCCCATTCCAAAGGGGGGGACCCGTTCATCCGTTTCTATTTGCATGTTTTCTAAACTAAAACCAGGCTTTGTTGGGCTGCTGGATAAAACCTGGAACTAAACGCTATTTCTGACATTTTGAACTGAAAAATCTTCCTGGATGGAAGAGAAACGTCTTCAAACTATGGAAACAAAGTCCAGAGGATTGATTTTAACATTTTTAGAACATCCATGGAAACAAATCATAAAACTGACCCCACTATGGACGGATGAGACAAACATGGAGCTTTTAGCCAAGAAACATCAGATCTAATGTTCACAGATCTAGACAAGATCAGTGTCCCTACAGTAAAAACATGGAGGAGGCTCCGTTATGCTCTGGGCTGCTTTGCTTCATCTGAATCTCTGCAGGGTCCAATGAAATCTCCAGACTATTGGGGATCATAGAGAGAAATGTTCTGTAGTGTCAGAAAGCAGCTCATGCGTCTTCAACAGGATCAGGAGCCAAAACACAGAGGCAGCCAAGATCAGCTGAGAGGAAAACATTGGACAGTCTGTAGGGGCCCCTAGGAGCCCTGAACGCTGCTGAGCATCTTTGAAAGGAGCTGAAACAGAAAAGGCAGCCTGACGCTACATTCAGACAGCAAGCAGCAGAAGCAGCTGGTTTACATGCAAAGTCAGTGGTTGACTTTGCGCATCAAGGCAAAGCAAAAGGTCCTGCAGCGACTAGAGCTTCTGACGCGCATCAGAAGCTGCAGCTGCTGGAGTTTGAAAAAACTGCCGGATGCGCCACATCAACCAATGAGAGAAGCTGATCTGGGAGCTGGCAGGGAGTCAGACGCAGCACTGCTGATGCAGAGCGCTATGATCACTCCTCTGAAACAGTTTATTAACGCCTAAATTAACTTCAAATGTAGAAACCTGCGGGCAG